GTTTTAGGGTTTAAGATTCAGACATTTAAACCTAAGACAGCGATTAACACTAAGCCCTTAACCTTTAAACCCTATAGGGTTAAGGTTTAAAGGTTTGGGGTTTAAGATTCAGGCATTTAAAGCTAAGTATGTAATCAATTTGTCACCCTTAACACCTCTAAACTCTGTAGTGTGAAGGTTTAAAGGCTTAGGGTTTAAAAAAACCTAAGCCCCCTAAGCCCATAGAGTTTAAACCTTAAGGGTTTAAGGTTTACGCATCTATTCCTTAACCCTAAACCCTCTAGGGTCAGGACCCTAAAGCCCTCGGCAATCAAGCCTAAACCCTTGACCTTCAAACCCCATAGGATGAAGGTTTAAAGGTTTGGGGTTTAAGACTTAGGCATTTAAACCTAGAGGGCATTTAAGCCTTAATCCTAAACCCTTTAGGGTCAGAACCTTAGCACCCTATAGGGGTCTAGCACGTTCAAAGGCTTGAACCCTACAGGCGCTGAAGGTATACATGTCCTATCGGTTTTTAAACCATTACACCCTGTAAGAAGGTTTAGGGTCTTTTCGGGGTCTATCTCTAAATTTCTCACGGGGTTAACCCTGCAGGGTTTAAAGTTAAAGGTTTAGGGTTAAAGGTTAAGGCAATACCTATAGGATTAGAACCTTATAACCCTGTAGTGCATGAGGCTTAAACCCCTAAAACTTAACCATCTTTTTCTCGAGAAAACCAAAAAAACCAAAAAAACCAAAAAAACCATCTTTTCCAAAACTATGGGGCTGGGGCCTCCAAAAGATGGTTTTTTTGGTTTTCTCGAGAAAAAGATGGTTTTTTTGGTTCGAAACCATCTTTTTCTCGAGAAAAAGATGGTTTTTGAGCAGCCGCTCTTCGAAAAACCATCTTTTTCTCGAGAAAAAGATGGTTTTTAGAGATCTTACCCTGGAAAAACCATCTTTTTCTCGAGAAAAAGATGGTTTCCGGAGGTCTTCTCCTGGTAAAACCATCTTTTTCTCGAGAAAAAGATGGTTTTTGGAGGTCTTCTCCTGGTAAAACCATCTTTTTCTCGAGAAAAAGATGGTTTTTCGAAGGATGGTTGCTCAAAACAATCTTTTTCTCGAGAAAAAGATTGTTTCGAACCAAAAAACCATCTTTTTCTCGAGAAAACCAAAAAAACCAAAAAAACCAAAAAAACCAAAAAAAAACCAAAAAAACCATCTTTTCCAAAACTATGGGGCTGGGGCCTTCAAGAGATGGTTTTTTTGGTTTTCTCGAGAAAAAGATGGTTTTTTTGGTTCGAAACCATCTTTTTCTCGAGAAAAAGATGGTTTTTGAGCAGCCGCTCTTCGAAAAACCATCTTTTTCTCGAGAAAAAGATGGTTTTTGGAGATCTTGTCCTGGAAAAACCATCTTTTTCTCGAGAAAAAGATGGTTTTTGGAGGTCTTGTCCTGGTAAAACCATCTTTTTCTCGAGAAAAAGATGGTTTTTGGAGGTCTTGTCCTGGTAAAGCCATCTTTTTCTCGAGAAAAAGATGGTTTTTAGAAGAGCGGCTGCTCAAAAACCATCTTTTTTTCGAGAAGAAGATGGTTTCGAACCAAAAAAACCATCTTTTTCTCGAGAAAACCAAAAAAACCATCTTTTGGAGGCCCCAGCCCCATAGTTTTGGAAAAGATGGTTTTTTTGGTTTTTTTGTTTTTTTTGGTTTTTTTGGATTTTTTTGGTTTGTTGGTTTTTGTTAGTTTCTTGTTTTGTTGTTTTTTGCCTTGATCTGGCTAGGACTCGGCTGCCATCCGCGGTGGGTCCATTGGGGGGGGGTGAGCATATATATATATATGTACATACCCTAGCAAGTAACTTCAAACATCTAGGCCACAAGTCGCAAACCTTGCTCCTCATACCCTAAACCCTGAAACCCTAAACCCCTAAACCCCTAAACCCTAAACCCTAAACCCTAAACCCTAAACCCTAAACCCCTACACCCTAAACCCTGAACCCTAAAACTGTAAACCCTGAACCCTAAACCCATATGCTCAGCCGCAAAGCCTAGAATCCGGTACTGCGCAAAAAAGTGCCTAGAGCAAGATGCCAAACCTCCAAACCTCATGAAGCCTGTGTCCCTAGATCCCTTACCCAATATCCGTTTTCCCGTTTTGGGGGTTTAGGGTTTGGGGTTTAGGGCTTTAGGGCTTTAGGGTTTAGGGTTTGGGATTTCAGAGTATTACCCAGGGAGCCCAAATACCGCTTAACTTCGGGTAGGGTTTAGGGTTTAGGGTTTAGGGTTTAGGGTTTAGGGTTTAGGGTTTAGGGTTTAGGGTTTAGGGTTTAGGGTTTAGGGTTTAGGGTTTAGGGTTTAGGGTTTAGGGTTTAGGGTTTAGGTTCAGGGTTCAGGGTTCAGGGTTCAGGGTTCAGGGTTTAGGGTTTAGGGTTTAGGGGCTTAGGGCTTAGGGCTTAGGGTTTAGAGTTTAGGGTTTAGGGTTAGGGTTTAGGGTTTAGGGTTTCGGGTTTAGGGTGTAGGGTTTAGGGTTTAGGGTTTAAGGTTTAGGGTTTAAGGTTTTGGGTTTAGGGTTTGGGCCCTTCCTACTAAAATCTCAAGAAAGTCATCAGTTCTTGCCTATTGACATATTTTCAAAGCACGCAGGATCGGCCTGCAGCCCCCTGCTCAAAGATCAGCTCGCCCTTGACAAAGGACACTTCCTCACAAGGCCGGCGTAGCGCTGACACAGGTATCGGGTCCTTTGGTGGTTCCTCTGGTTATAGGGTTCTATAGTTGGTTTAGGGTATAGGATTCAGGGTTCTTAAGGGGTTCAAGGGGGGGTATGTAAGTAACCCAAGGTTCCCTAATATTCCCCGCTACTCCCTCAGGCTCCCTAAGCTTCCCTAGGTACTTACTCCCCCTCTCCTTTAAGAACCCAACTCTATAACACAGGAACGGGCCATCGGACACATAATTTTTTTTCGAGCTAACGGGTTTAGGGCCATCAAGCGCTACCTTATAACTATAGGGTTTAGGGTGTAGGGTCTAGGGTTTGGGCTTTAGGCAACTTTTCGTGTCCTATCACACCCAGGCAGAAGAAAAAAAACAAAAAAAACTAAGCCCAAAATCCAACCTCATGCCTACCGCACTACAGCAAAGCAAAGGCCGTGGACCGACAGGACAGCTACCTTTGTACACCAACCTTTGTAAGTTACAAGGGAGCCTCTATACACTCTACACACTACTATACTTAAGAAACCCCCCCCCCCCAAAAAAAAAAAAAAAATCTTCCTTCTAAGGGTAAGATAGCGACTATGGTCTTCATATTTTGGGTGTTTTATACAAATAGTTTCAAATAGTAGATACACTCACCAATAACAGCAGTATAAACCCTGCTTCAATCCGTAGCCAGCTTCGGGCCCTGCAGCCCTAGGGTTTAGGGTGTAGGGTTTAGGGTTTGGGGTTTAGGGTTTAGGTTTTGAGGGATGGCGCGGCTTGTCTAGACTGGGAGGGCCGGGGGGGGGGATCTGGGAGACAAGCGTCCGTCATGCTTCGCGCCAAGGCCGCCTTCTCATCTCTCCTGGGCTGCGGCTTCAGGATTTGGGGTTTCGAGGCTGTAGGGTTTTGGGTTTAGGGTTTAGGGTTTAGGGTTGGGACGAATGGCCGAAGCCCAAAAACCCAAACGCTAACTTAGGGAGACCCCCACCTCCCAGCCCTTCAGGAAGATAGTTTGCAAGATAGTCCACCATGACTCTTGTAATTCCCAAATCTCGAAAGCTCTCAAGTCCTAAAGCCCCATGAACGCCAAGCAAGCCCAAAGCTTTCAGAGGGCAAACCCGTTCGCCACTAAAAACAAGGAAGGGGAAACCACCGCATTTCTGGCTGCGTGCTGTTGATTTAGGGTTTCAAGTTTAATTGCTCACCCGTCTTTTAACAGGAAAGGATTGCCCAACCTCCCCCATCGCGTTTTAGGGGGTTTAGGGCTGAGAAGATTGAATCGATTTAAGGGTTTGAGGCTTAGGGTCTGCTTGGGAGGTCCATTTTGCTATAAAGGATGTTCTTACAGGAGCCAACATCAGGGACACTCCAGCCCAAGCACTGGGCCTGTGTGGGGAATGTTGGGAACGCTTGAGAACCCGAAAGCACTGAACTTAAGCTCCTAAGCTCTCAAGGATTCCCTAAACTGCTACTTGCTTACAAACCCTTAGTAAAACAACACTATATGTAGCCCTTACAAGAAAGAAGAATTCATTATGGTTATGTTTTCTGTTGATTGAGTCTTTATTGTTTTTTTTTGGGCGGGGGGGGGGGGGGGGTTGGGTTCTTAAGCACTTAGCCCAAAGGGTCCTAAGTACCTACAGAGTCGACAGTAGGGGCTCTATAATAGGAATTACTATTATGGTCTGGGTAAGTGTTCCCTATATATATATATATATTTACTTAGGACGCTTTGGGTAGTAATATGCATGCCCCTCCGGTGAAATGGTTCAGCACTTCGGAAACCCTAAACCCTAAATCCTAATCCCTAAACCCTAACCTTAAACCCTAGACCCTAAACCCGAAACCCTAAACCCTATATAAACCCTACTGGTTCAGCACTCCAGGCGTCTTCAGAGGCGACAGGAGCTCCACCTGAACAAGGAAAGTAGCTCAGGGAACCTGCCTCAACTGGAATTTATCTACGAAGATTGCTTACGAACCCCCACCCCCCCCCCCCCCAAAAAAAAAAAATAAAAAAACATGATAAAAACAAAATAATAATAATCCCATATAAGACCCCCCAAAAAAAACATATGTATACATATATATATATATATATAATTCCAAAGAATGCCCTCATAGGGAAGAATATTTATCTTTATCGGGGGTCGTCGGCAATTAGTAGTTCTATTCGGACATCAGGTTCGGGGAGGAATCACACTTGCGACTCCTTCTTGTCTGGCTCACTTTCTTGGCGGTGCCATCAAACTGATCGACGTGGGCATATAGATGACAATGACTATGTACACGATGTGGATGCAGAGATTGTGCCCTACGGCATCTTACCGCACCTGAATTCACAAGCCGTTGCTTGGATGCCAACCCCCAGCCCCAGGCATTAAGACTCTGCTGACGTTCGACTTCGCAGCTACATCAGGTCAAAGCTGGGATGTAGCGGCGACATGGGCAAAACATGCTTCAAAACGCCGAAGCGGCAGGCCTACATATGTCTTGTCATGTTGCAGGGAAAGGTGCCAGGTGCATGGTAAGCCATTGAGCGTTCATGCACGTGCCCTGGCCTTGTCGAGCAGCTTCAAGTTCTCCTGCTCAAGCTCGTCAGCGGACTTTGCCAAGATCTGCTTGAAGTTTCCTCACCCCCACAGGTAGTCTTACTTGTCCAATAAACAAGGAAAAAGAAAGCTTATTGCACTTTATTATTCCTACTAAAAAAGGGGAAGCCTAAAAAAGATTAAAGGTCAGCTACGTAAGTAATAGATATCACAGTCATGAGTGATGCTGCGAAACATGTCTTGCTGCTCGTGAGCCCCGAGGCCAAGCCCACTCCCTGCCTGCTGTCGGCTATGTAAGCTTCGGTAGGCCCCACTGAGGGGTTCAAGGTTTAAGGTTCAGGGTTGAGGGTTTAGGGCCTAGGGTTTAGGACTTAGGATCTAAGGTTTAGGGTTTGGGCTACAATTCAAGGCCGGACATTGGCAAAGGGATTGCTCTGTACACCTTTGTTCTGACGGGCCAGCCGCTAGAGCTGAGACTGAGCTTCTGGCACCACCCTTACAGGACCAAGGTTCAACGAATCAGCAACCGACCATTGTCGAAAGCTAACCCTACACCCTAAACCCTATACCCGAAAACCGGACCCTAAACCCTAAACCCTAAACCCTAAACCCAAAGCCTGGAGGTTCTACATGGCCAGGACGGTGTATTCCAGGAACGAAGGGGGTTCTGGCATCGCCCGGCTTAGAACGACCTCGGGAGGGTTTAGGGATGAGGGTCTTGACACCGCGAAATGGGTCCTAAACCCCAAGCCGTAAACATTCGGTTTTAGGGTTTAGGGTTTTAAGGGCTTGGTTGGAGGTCCAGGGTTCGCGTAATCCCAGATATAACTGTACTCGAAGTAGGGTAGAATATGTAGACATTGGGGTTATAAGTGCCCACGAACCTCCAAGCAGGGGGTTTTAAAATTCAAGATTAGACGTCCCGCTCCTCGGTCGATCACCCACACCGAAGCCTGCTCAGTGGCCTGGAGGAGCGGCAAGGAACTGGGTTTTGAGGGTGTAGGGTTTTTGGGGTTAGGTTTAGGGTTTAGGGTTTGGGGTTTCTGGTTTAGGGTGGAGCGCTTTTAAGGTCTAGGGTAGGAGTTCTGGACGCCCAAAGCCACCACGACGGGGGGCCGAGAGCGTAGTAATATGATCCCTGAATAAGGGCCCTGGGGAACCCTCATACACCCCAACCCATACTTCAGAACCCTAGAATATCAAGGGGCCATCGTAAAAGGATCGGGCGACGTGGTTAGTATGTAGGCTGGAAGCAGACTGCCACCTCAACATGCCGAACGCAGGGGGGGGCCATTTGCTTCGATGGTCTTGGTATTTCTTGAGACTCCTGCAACAGACCTCAAGACTCCTCCTAGACCCAACGGCCCGTGGTCGCGCCTACTATGACATGGTGCAAGTTCAAGTTATTCGGGGGGTGGGGGGGGGGGGGGGGGGGGGGGGGGGGGGGGCGGAAGGGAATTCTGGTAAACCACACCCCGGGAAGCTGGCTCTGATGTAGATCCTTTTTGGGCCATGTTCCGGGGTGTTCTAGTAGCCCTAAACCCTAAACCCTAAACCCTAAACCCTCTAAACTCCAAAACACCTTGACCCTGTCTCCAAGTCCCGCCTCCACTGTGGCCGCCCGGGGTGCGAAGTAGATCAGGGCCAGCTCGCCGAAGCTGCCGCCAGGGCCGATCCTTGTGGGTTGAGGGTTATCGGGTTTTGGGATTGGGGTTTAGGGTTTAGGGTTATAGGGTTGAGAGTTATAGGGTTTTGGGATTAGGGAGTAGGGTGGGTTTAGGGATGAGGGTTTAGGGTTTAGGGTTACTGGGTTTGGGTTTAGGGTTATAGGGTTTCGGGTTTCGGGCTGGGGGTTTAGGGTTTGGGGTTATAGGATTTAGGCTGTAAGGTTTAGAATTTAGGGTTTGGGGGTGCATAGAGGCATCCTTGGGTTAGGGTTTGTGGCAAACGATCCTAGCTATAGGGAGAGCTACAAGGGGCGCCTAGTTTGGGCTATACGCTTTTCCACTCGAGTTACAATTCCATTCCGGTGGCGCCGAATCTGCCCTAAACTCCCACGCTCACACCCCAAAACCTTCCAGGGACTAAAGGCGGGACCTTTATAAGGGAGCTTAGGGGTAATGTAGGGGCTACTTGGGTGTATAGGGACTAAATAAGGTATGTATATATATATATATACATACATATATAGATAGCGGTTGTATAGCGGAATAAGAAAGGTTCCCTTCTACGGCTTCCTCCGAATATCCTCTACATACCACAAACACCCCACAACCCCAAGCGCTGCCGCGGGCAAGGATCGAAGGCAGCGTCTTGCCATCCTGCGACACAAGGTCCTACGTGCACAGCCGCATCCTAAACCCTAAACCCTAAACCCTAAACCCTAAACCCTAAACCCTAAACCCTAAACAACCCTACACCCCCAAGCCCTGTACTAACAGTCCCCGAAGCCGACTCCCACACAATGCAGGCTCCCCGTGCCTTCTGGTCTGCGATGGAGATGCTGAAGAGGCCTGGACCGGACTGAGTTTAGGGTTTAGGGTTTAGGGTTTAGGGTCTAGGGTTTAGGGCTTAGGGTTTAGGGTCTAGGGTCTAGGGTTTAGCGTGTTGGTTGTTCGGGTCTAGGGTAGTTAAGGCTTAGGGTTGTTAGGGTTTAGGGTTGCCAGGGTTTAGGGTTGTTAGGGTTGGGGAGTTTAGGGCATAGGGTCGAATTAGCGCTTTTTGATCAGGACCTAACATCGTCAAATTTGCACGAGTGCCCTTGCTTCTTCTGAAAATTAAACCCTACACCCTACACCCTACACCCTACACCCTAAACCCTAAACCCTAAACCCTAAACCCTAAACCCTTAGTCCCGTCATGGGACTCGACCTTGGGGCCCCCAAAGGTTGCACGCCTGAGTCTTGGGGGTCCTTCTTCAAGGCACTCTAAGGGAGCACAAGGGCCACAGTGGGACGACATTAAACCCTAAACCTTCGGGGTAGGAGAACCCTAAACCCTAAACCCTAAACCCTAAACCCTAAACCCTTTTTAAAGATCCCTAAGGTAGTCTAAGGGCCCATATTCGGAGTATGGTAAGGGAAACCTTTACGGGTACAACCTTCGGGGTAGGAGAACCCTAAACCCTAAACCCTAAACCCTAAACCCTAAACCCTGAACCCTGAACCCTAAACCCTGAACCCTAAAAACAAAGGTAGTATAGTAAGGGAAGCCTTTAGGGGTACAATTTAGGGGTAGGAGCAGGAGTCTGAATCCCTGGATCCAAATGCCTTGATGCCTCTCAGCTTGGTCTTTGGCATCCAGCGATGCACCCGAATTTAGGGTTGAGGGTTTAGGGTTTAGGGCTTAGGGTTTTGGGGTTTGGGGCTTAGGGTTTATGACCCCAAGCACCTTAGACCCGCAAGAGACCTCATCCTTCCAGAACTTACGTGTTTTCAGGACCTTCGAAACATGGAATAGACGCCCGACAACAACAGCAGATTCGAGTGGATTAGGAAACCCTAAACTCCACTGACGCAAGCCGTCGATGACCGACATGGGTGACTATCACATTGCGACTGTGACGTCTTCTTCAGATTTAAAGAGGTTGGGTAACCCTCCACCCTGTCCCCGATTGAGCGCCGTCCTGACTGCACTATGTAGAAGTAATCCGCTTCGAGGTCGCCCTCTCTGATGAGCCGGGTTCCTTTTGGTACGTCCTGCACTTGCTGGGGGCGCGGTCTAGACCCCGAGGTCTCCTTAAATCATATAAGTGATCCCTTGGCAATTTTAGGCCGTACTTGAGGAATCATAGTAATTAGAGTGAGTCTTTGGGTAATGAGGAAACCATGTCACTAACTTAAGTTGCCGTTACCCCATGGCGCGCCGAAGCAAAAGACCCTGAAAACCTAACACTCTAAATCCAAAACCTGCGGCTAAGGGCTTGTAGGGTATACTAAAGTCCTCATAAGACTCCAACCAAAATATCTTGAAATATTCCGGTTTACATAATCAAAATCCGTAACTCCTATGAAAGGAAACTCTAGTAATTGCTGGGAAGCAGAGGTGTCCCCCGAGACCTGCTTCCATGCCACATCGATGATTGCATTGATGCGGGTCCGATCCAGGTCCACCATACCTTGGCAGGGCTCTATAGGGCTTTCGGGGCCTAAAAGGAATGATATGGATTCTACAAAGTGTAAAAATGTCAAGGAATAGGGGGTTGCAGGGTCTTTTGGTTTCATGGGGTCTAAGAGGGTTTTGGACTGACAGGGGTCGTAAAGATTTTTTTAAATAGGGTTTTGTATAGGGTTTATAGGTTTCCCTGAACCCTAAACCCTAAACCCTACACCCGAACCCATCAGCCACGTTGCTCTGGAGGTTGGTGTTCTTCTTCAGCGCGTTCGACATGAGCTGTCCTTGGGTGCAAGCTGCAGGGTGGGAAAAAACAGAACAGCTAGGATTTGTGGGAGGTTTTAGGGTTTGGGGTTTAGGGCTAGGGTTTAGGGTTTAGGGTTTAGGGCTAGGGTTGCGGGTTTAGGGTTCAAGGTTGAGGGCTGACCCATCAGCCCTACGGTTTGTTACATGGTCCCTTCGTGTGGGCCCCCGTATATGCCCCTTAGATAGCCGATACAACGCAAGGGCCCATACTTCAGAAGCCGTTAAAAAAGGTAAGGGGCCATAGAAAGGAACCCATAACGCCATAACCCTAAACCTTAAACCCTAAGTACTACCCTTAGATCAGCCCTGCTATGTATTGTTTATGGGGCTTGTAGGGCTGTTAGCTGCCAGGCGTCTCTCACTGTCGGTCTTGGGCGTGGGTGCCTCGCGCTGAGGTTGAAGGTTTGGAGTTTAGGGCTAAAGCCTAAGCTTAAAACCCTAAAACTCTAAGAACCCTAAAACCTAAAACCCTAACTAAAGCCCTAAAACCCAAAAAAACTCAACCCGAAACCCTAAATCTAATTCATGACATATGTACATACATGCATCATACATACATACATACATACACACATACATACATACATACATACATTAATACATACATGTCCACCGTCATGCTTCTCAAGTGTCAGTTTATTTCAGACAACCCAAACTACCATTCCAGGACCCCCAGCTCCTGCGGACATTACATCCTGTTGAACTGCATGGGTACCCAGAGACTCCAAAACCCCTTAATTAAGGAATATACCTTAAATTATAATAGGAACCCTAATATGATTTAAGGTATATTCCTTAATTGAGGGGTTTTGGAGTCTCTGGGTAGTTGGAGAGACTCCGGGACTTGGGGTTTAGGGCTTAGGAGAACCTAAATTCCGGGCCGAGGACCTTTTGGGGGGGGGGGTGTCTGGTACAGTGCAGTTCCTACCGTCTACGGCGCATGATACAGAACCGGTGCATAATTCAGACAAGCCTCGGAAGGGGTTGAACATCAGGAAACTCTTTTGGCTAAGGACATTCTACTCTGAGCCCGAAACCCTACTTGCAGGTTCGCGGGTACTTACAACCCCAATTATAACGCTACTTGCTTATATCCTACTTAGGAGGATTTCGGGGGCTTGACAAGTCTAGTTCTAACTGGGGTTGTAAGTACCCCGAAGCTCCAAGTAAATCATGCCCAAAGGATCCATGTACCTATATAGCATCTACTTGGGCCTTAAAGGGGTTCCTATATCGTAGCTTTAGGGCCCAAGTATATACTATACAGGTACATGGATCCTTTGGGATGTCATTCCAAATTCTGACCGGAGAAGCGCCTTGACTTCCACGTGCTTGCCCATGCCACCACCCACGGCTTTGCGCTGGGGGAAGTCAAGTTTGTCCCTGCACGGGAGCCTAAACCCTAAATCCTAAACCCAAAAAACGCCTAAGCCGTAAAGCGTGGTCTGGGGTTTGGGGGTTTAGGGTTTAGGGTTTAGGGCTAAACCCTAAAACCCTAAACCCTAAACCCTAAACCCTAAACCCTAAACCCTAAACCCCTACACCCTAAAGGGTCGCCTGCCTTCGATGGACTCCAGGCTCCCCTCAAAGAAAAGCCCTTCTGTACGGGGTTGGTTCGGGCTAGAAGGCCCTAAACCCTAAACCCTAAACCCTGAACCCTGAACCCTAAACCCTAAACCCTAAACCCTACACCCTCAACCCTAAACCCTAGTCTAGACCCAAGAGAAACCTAGGGTACACTTTGTGGTTCGAAGAGGTTTATAAAGGGAAACCTAAACCCTCAAACCAAGTCAATAAGGGCCCAGTCTGCGTCCTAGTAGTAATAATAGCATCCTGGTTCCTGCGGTTCAGGGTTTAGGGTTCAGGGTTTCGGGCCTGGGGTTTAGGGTTTAGGGAGGTTTCGGGCCAGAAGGGTGCATGGATTGGGAATCCTCCAGGGAACCTTGCTTGCGTAGGCAAGCAGACACCTCTGGTGGATGAGTGTCCATAGCAGGGAGTGAGTGAACCACTAGCTCTCCGCAAGGTTAGCATCGTCCTCCGTTTGGAGGTGCATAATACTTATTAACCCAATTTTAAACTGTACTTGTAACACGGTTATAACCATTCTAAATTGGTGAGAAGTACCCTTGCAACTGCGTCATAAGTACCATGAACCTCCAAGCACTTCTTCTGTTTGGCAATGCGCTGTTGGTCTTCTTTTGGCTGACTCCCTAAACCTCACGATAGGACTGTTTTCCGTGTAGTCGAGGACATTCGTGAATATGGCACATGGACCCTTAGAGACACAGCCCCTTACTGCACGTGCCCCAAGGCAACCGACTAGAAACACAGGGAAAGGAAACCGCCAAAGCCGTCTGGACCTGCAAAGAGAAATGCTCCCCCCAAACTGAAGCACCTTAAGCCAAGCTCGACGAACTTCTGCCGAGAGATGGAAAGCGCCTCCGACGCATTTCTGTCCAGGCGCGTGCGGCCCAAACCCTAAATCCCAAGCCCCTGAGGTACGAGGGGTATAGAAAAGCATATACAGGGTTGGTTATACACAGCAGTAAGACGTAAGGGTAATCCCAGGCCCTGACTAGACCCTAATACCAAAGCCCTCATGAGACCCAATCCCTTCACCAAGAAACCCTAAACCCTACAAGCCCTGAGGGTCCTAAACACTAGGGCATGGCAACCGCAAATTCCTACAAACCCCTAACCCAGACCGGCATCTTCCTCAAAGGGGCTCTAACTTGTTTTTAAGCATATTCCTCAAAAGGGGCTCTAACTTGCATATTCCTCAAGGGGCTTTAGGGCTCGGGCATGTGCCCTGTGGTAGGGCAACCCGGGGTTAAGGGCTTTGGCCCACCCTCACCCCTAAGTCTAAGGGTAGCTATATACTAGGGTTTAGGGTTTAGGGTTTAGGGTTTAGGGTACCCATGGTCCCTTAATATGGACCCTTAAATGGGGACCCCTATATGCCTGTAAAACCCAAGGGCCGATACTTCCATGTAGCTACCCTTAGACTTGGGGTTAAATAGCAAGGCCCGGGCAATTAAAAAATTAAAAAAAACAACTCAAAATCAGCATCACTATCACTAACTTCCATGTGCTGATCGCTCCATTTTCGTCGGGCGCTGCCGAAACGTCGGTCGTGTTACAAGTGATCCCCTCTCTCCGACGTGAGTTGTCGTTCTGCTGCAGCCTTGGCACGAAGGCATCTGAAAACTCAACCATCTCAATATGAATGCTGACATGCACTCACTTGCACGACATTTTTTAATCACCAACTGGAAACGGTACTCTGAAGACACGCGTCGGTCTACTTCTGAACTTGGCACGTCAGCCAGAAGAGCCGGCGGAGCAATTCTGGTGTAAAAGACTGTCTGTCAGTCTGTGAAACATGCTGATTCAGCAACGAGCAAACACCGACGGCGTGGCTGATTCTCAGCTGCCGTCCCTGGTTCTATTCGGTCTGTCTGACAGTCGGACCAAAATATTACAGCAACACCCAGCCACCTTCTCCGTCCTCAGCACATTGAACATCGGCCAAGGCGGTCAAGGGCAAGGCGGTCTGCGATTCCACTTCGAGTGTGCCGAGGAAGTAGACGTGCCGAATACCATCGCTGAAATCTTGGATGTGTCGAATAGAACTAGGACTGCACATTCACTGCTTCAGGAAGAACTGTTTTCAAAAACAGAAGCAAAAGCTGCTGCTTCACCAAGGGGCAATTTCGGTCTATGTGCTGCAGTCGAATCTGATGCTGCCGCACAGACGGGTGTGCGCAGCACGCGAAGTCTGCCAGCCATATGGAGCCATCGGGCGAACTCCAGGTCCCCTGCATTCCATACGCTATGTTGCCTTTTCCTTAGCCAGCACAAGACTCAGGCAAGCCAAACAAGCATACCAACACAACAGCAGAAAACTGTAAATTCAAGCGGGCTGCTGGTCGTCCTCTTAAAGCCCACCCGCCAATCTGCAAACAAGAACAACATCTCCACGCGGGTGCTGTGCTCCCAACGGTACACACCCACACGAGTCGGCATGCTTGCAGTCGGCCCTACGGTCTGGCAGCCCTCGTTGCCGAATCAGCTGCGGCGGGCGGGGTCATCAAGGTTTAACATGGCCAGACTCGAAATGCAAAACTTTCAGTATCTCTCTGGTCTGTAAGCATGTGTTTCGGGCTGGGCCGCCAGCCACCATTTTCCCACTCATCCATCACTGCCTGTGAACAATGAATTGCAAATGACACACACACACACACACCGCAGGCTTCCTGACTGACTCTGACACGGCCTTGACGGACTTCAGCTGCGATCGCGACCTTGACTTTAAACAGTCGAGCAACAGCAAAATCTGAGGGACAAACAAACTCAAAACTAGTAGCTCGGCCTGTAACAGTGAAAACTAGGCGTAGTGTTAGTCGTTCCTGCCCCCGCCCTGTAACAGTCAAAACTAGGCGTAGTGTTAGGTCCTCTATATATTATAACTGTATTCGGATCATTAACTGTTACAGACTGGGGGCAGTAAGCACAGAACTGCCAGGGGACTCAGAGACGCATGTCACGTCGTCTTCTCACTCAGTCTGAGTCTTTCGCGCCTTCTGACGTCGTTGCTCCGCTTCAAGCAACGGGCGTCTGCCGTCGTTCTAAGTTGGGCACTGCCCCCGCCCTGTAACTGTAACAGTCAAAACTAGGCGTAGTGTTAGGTCGGTCCTCTATCTATCTGTATTCTGATCATTATTTTTTATTATTCAACGGTTACAGAGTGGGGGCAGTAAGCACAAAACTGCCGGGGGACTCAGAGACTCATGTCACGTCGTCTTCTCACTCAGTCTGAGTCTTTCGTGCTTTCCGACGTCGTTCCTCCTCCTCCTGGTGCTCTCGGCGGAATCTCTGGAGGTCCTCGATGCTGTCGTCGAGCTGCTTCTCATAGCGCAACCTCCTGATTGCAGGGGTTACCAATGACGTGACTGCGAGCTCCTCTCTATTAGACAAACAAACCCTGGATCATAATCGGAAACCTAAACACTCGAACCCCTAAACCCAAAACAACCCTAATAATCCCTAGGACTCAGACCCTAAGATGGTATTGAACAGTTACAGCATCTGGCCTCGCATCGTGCGCAGCCTCGACCATCGTTCTAACGTCCTCGTACTGGTCCCCGGCTACGGTCAGCTCAAGCAGCTGATCCTTGTGATGTCGGCAGGCGCTCAAGAATGCGTTCACCGAAGACCTCGGACCGGAGAGGTTCCAGTAGGCTCCGAACCAGCTGTCCTCGTTCTGCACATGGGACAGCTGTGCCCCTGTGCCTGTGTCTCCTCTGACCACGGTCTCCATGGTAATCCCGAACCGTCGAACACTGGCACGGGTGGAGGCACCGTCGGTCTTGAAGTAAACACACGACAGAAGCTTCTCGGGCACCGGCCAAAGCACGTACGACACAACGGCCTCATTGGCGTCGGTCTGGCTTGGTCGCCCTCGGTCTTCTGTGACAGTGACGAGCTCATTCGGCCGCATCGACCTTTTTGTATTCTTGGTGACGTAGGAGATGATGCTTTCATCGGTCTCTCCGTTCTGCAACCTCAGCAGGTACACAAAGATGCAAGGCTTGGGCTCGTTCTCTCTGTCGGTCTCGGTCTCGGTCTCGACCACGGCTTTCGGCCTCTCCGCTTCGGACACGACGTCAGCCTTGAGGTCGGTCTTCCGTGCAAGGACGCTGGCAAACATCGGGTGACACAGGTGTACGGTCTGGGGGCCAACTGATTCGTCGGTCTTTCCGGTAGCAACGATCGTGCGGCACAACATCGCGGGCTTCCCGAACTTCAGCACCCCTTCCGAAAATGCTTTGAACTTTTCTTCGGCCTGCTCGCTCAGCGTCAACCTGACGCACGCCATCTCCAACTTCTTTCGGACTTGAGGAAGCTTGGCCCCTTCCATGAGCACCGGGTCTTCGGTCTTGTCGCTCGGGGTGAAGCCTGCCTGTCGGCCTGCACGATGAATTGAGTCCTTGGCATTGGATGGGTTGCAGGCGGGTCTAGCGGGATGCCATGGTGTACAACATGACAAGTCCTGCGGGAAATGATGCTAACTCAGACCCAGCGGCCATGACCGCGTTCAACTCCGAGTCGTGCAAGCGACACGGGCTGATTCGCAAACTCTCGATCTTGTTGGGAGCCAGCTGTTGGGCCTGCAAGCACACGAGTGCTATCATGTCTCACTGCGGACGTATTGAATTGGGTTCAGCTGTGAAGCCTGGATGGTCAAGTAGTAGCTCATCGTTGAGCTTGGCGCGAAGACCGGGTGAAAAAACAAACTTACCAAAACGACTTCGAGCAACAGTCTGGACGTGCGAACTTGTCACTCTAAGATTCTGATGCTGCGAGTGACCACCACTGGCCTGCAAAGATCCTGGACCTTGGCGCTTCACACTGCATTTTTTACACAGTGGAACCTCGGTCATGACTTGTCGTGCCCGGGAAAATATGACGAAGACAGCCGCAGCCACTAGACAATGTTAATTCAGGGCTCATTCTCACAGGCCAGGAGAGCTAGGGTGGTTATTATACGCTGAAATTTGCAATTGACTGAATTCTGAATTATTGAATGGGCTGCAAGGCAAGCGTGCCTTCCGAGCTGCACGCTGCTCCCTTTCGATGGTTTGCTTAAATCAATTGGCCCTGTCCCTCGGACTCGACGCGGTGTGACGGTCTAGGACCAGGAGTCAAAAAGTTAAAGGCATCCGGCAGAAAGGCCTAGGGTTTTTGAAACAGCCGTCTAGCCATGCTCCACGGGGCATTGTTAGGGTTTAAGGGTCTAGGGTTTCGGTTTGGGGCTGCTGTGGGGGCGGTTTGTGACTCAATTTGCTTGTTGGCCCTAGGACTCTGCGCCGGAGCTGTCGTTCTCTGCTCCCGACTCGGCCTCTGCCCCCTCTTCAGCTTCGTCGGGCTCAGCATCATCACCGATGACCTCCTGCCACTCCTCTTACACGCAATGTTCATTGCTGACGAATCTGAACCTTCAAGTTGAGTAAGTCTCGCGCCTTTGCGAAGCCCTCGTCGGTCAGTGCGCCGCCCTCTTTCGTCATGGCCAGCCTGAGTATGAATTGGTGCCTACGATGACAGCCACAGTCGAGCAGCATGAGTCTTGTGTGAGCCGAGCCACATCATCAGTAGAGGGAGCCTCTCCCGCACCAGCCACTCTCGATGCGCGTCGTTCTTGGCAATCGCAGCGTACACTGCGCCCTTTCGGGCGGCTTCCAACGCCAGGCCCCCGTCTCCGGGGCAGAGATCCAGGACTGCTCTGGCAGAAACCTGGGCGCGACAACCGGCGCAAAAAAAAATGTCATCAATTGCCAATTCTTACCTGGACACGCGACTTGCGACCATGGTGCGGAGTGCAGGATTTCGGCCAGGAGTTCCGGGGCGTCTGCGTGCCAAAAAAGAGGTGTAGCGTCCCCCTGCATGCCCAGCTTCTTCCGGATCTTCTCCAAGCGCCGGCCCAATCTCTTGCTTTCGGGCTTCGTTCCCTCAGAAAGCCATTCCCATGACATGAATCTCAACGCTTAAACAGACACAGGTCTTCTCATGGCCAACGATTCGGATGCACAACGCCCCTGTTCTCTTGCAAGTCGCCCCTGTGTCGTGCGTCGACGGGATGATGGCCTTCTTGGTTTCCGGGGACACAAAGGTCAAGCCCTGAATTGGCTGCACGGGCACGTTCGAGATGACCTCCGAGTTCGTTCTGCCCTCGCCGAGCGTTCGGTCCTTCACCTGCCAACAATTTGAGGCATGACCTGGGCCTGGTTCAGTGAAAGCCGTCCAAAAAACATGGTGGCCTGCGTCAGGCGTCTCCACTGGAGCTTGGGTGAAAT